CAAACGGATTAACCTTGGTTGATCCCTTTTGATTGGGAAGAGAAATCTTTTCTTGATCACTAGTTACCATTGTTAATGTCGATGGAAACCTTGGAATTCAATTTTATGAGCATTTATGCTTCAATTGTGTTGTTAAGCATTTCTGCTTTAGTAACCATCAACATATGGGTCAGATCAGTTAGGGTCACATCGAGATTCCTCATATGAAAGTTCTCAAAAAACTAACCATACGACTTAGGAAGCGAAAAAGAACCAAATAAATGTCTTGCTCCTTTAGGAATATGACACCCATCCTTTCCAACTTGTTAATGTATGATTTCATTTTTAGAACATACATACACATAATTTGCATATTGATGTTTACATGCTAATAGGTCTTGAATTGTTTCATATCTTTCAATTTGAGGAAAATGTGACATTGGGAGAGTCACTGGAGGAGGTGGAAGAGTTGAAGAAGGATGATGTCCTATTCTACCATTACCTAAGGAAGGGAAGAAATTTTCACCTTGACTCGAATGTGGAAGATCATTTCCAGAATATTGAGGAAAACCATTTCCATAAGAATGAGGAAGACCATTTATATCTTCATAAGACATCTAAAAGTGGAAAAATAAATATTTCAAGTTAGTTGATTTTAATCCGTAATTATTAACCCAAATATAAATTAAGGCTAGGATCCATATTTTCATTTCGTAATATGAAGATGGTTGCCGTAGTCAAATCACAAAACTATTTTAGGTAGGTAGAAACATTTCATCCATTCCAATCATATGAAACTCATAGATCTTTTGAGATTCATTAAATCTTATCAATGACATGTTTAATCTTGTATTATTCTTTTACCATTTGTGACTGGGATGTTGAGGATCACAATTAAGATGTGAATAACCATGCAACCCTGCTCAAACTCCCTCGATCGATTCATAATCTCCCATTAATGTGCCAATTAACCACACCAGCTCCATCACCAATTATAAACATGAGTTGTTTCATCATTTCAACTTTATAGTCCCACATTAGTGTGTCGGTTAACCACATACACTCCACCAACGACTCATAAAGAAATGATGTACGTTTTCATGAATTGGCATAGAATTTCATATTTTTTTTCTAAAGTAACTAGAGTGAGATTTTAAAAAGGTTCTAGTACTCTATACGTTATATTTTTAATCTTTTATATCCTATCAAACTCGTTCGGCTAACGACCATCTACCACGTAAAGGATTGGTAGGAGAGAATGACACCCATTCAACAATTATTTTATAGGTCGTTTCCTTATACCCCTCTTAGAGTGTGGCTTCATGTATCATACTATTGATTCAACTAAATTTTAGTTATACATATAGTATTAAATGTGTGTGTGTGTGTGTGTATATATATATATATATATATATATATATATATAAAGGTGTATTTTAAAACTTTTTAAAACACAATGTTTAAATATTAATTATCTAAATTAAACATATAATTAATTAATAATTTTAAACCTATCATGGATTTATAATTATCTTTTAATTAATCTTATAATAAATTAATTATTAAATCCATAAGGATAATCTTCATTAATCTTATAACTAAATATTATCTTATCCAAGATTATCTCATAATATTTAGGGTTTTATTTTAATCATCTAAGATATGCAAAAAAATCGGATTTTGGCAGAATTCAATCAAATAAATACCAAAAATAAGCACACAAATCAAATTAGGCAAAAAAAATCCCGAATTTCCATATTTGAGTTGAGCTCACGTTGTGATAAAGACACTGTCACGTCGTAAGAACACTTTTCAAAAAGAATTGTTTGATTCAACTTATATACAAATAATGTTAGACACATCAAGGCTCTGATACCACCGATGAGTTCTATAGGTTACAAAAACTATATGCTTGCGGATAAATAATCTATGTCTTTAGCACTTTGAATGTAACAAATAATTGACAACAAAATTATCATGAACCCTAATGAAAACCTAGTATAATCGAAATACAAGAATTAAGGTTACATACCTTTGATTTGTTGTAGTAAACAAATCACTTCAACCTCTTGTGTTTGTTGGTCTTCGAAAGCTAGTGCCAAAAGGATGATACCTCTAATGGGCTCACAGCTAAAACTAGAAACCCTAGAATGAGGAGGAGAGAGGAGATATGTGGGAATTTTCATTCATATGTTTATGAGTAAGGTCATGAACAAAATTTGCTAGCCAAGTGGTTCTATTTATAAGTTAGGTAACTTGTAGGCAAAACAAGATTTGAATTGATTAAATAATATTTTTTAATCTCAGTTCAAATCTTTCCCTTATATACAAACAGAAGGCTCCTAGAAACCCCTAGAAGAGCTCCTAAAACTGCCTATGCTTGGATGGTTCCAGAATTGCCTCTTTTATTCAACTATTGAACAATTATAATTTACCTCTTATACTTTTAATTAATTCTAATTAATCATGAATTAACTTTAGATTAATTCTGGTTAATAGTTAATCAATTCTTATTGATTTCATATTAATTTGTTAATCATATAAATTAACAAATCAATTATTTAACAATTGATCTCATATTAATTTATTAATAGTAAATTAACAAATCAACTATCTATTTCCAATTAATATTTTAATCACATAATATATTAACAAATTATTTTCTCATAATTTACAATTACTTTATTAATCATATAATAATCTAATAAATTATATTTATCTCTCCTAATATCATTTCTAGCTATTTCTTGTCATGAGGGCAACCCAAAAAGTATTTTGCTTCTAAATGCCATAGTATACCAATTTAGTTATGAACTTAGAGACCTTAATCCAACAAATTTTAGTTATTGTATACATGTATCTTCATTCATTATCAACTAACAAAGATGTATCCATTTCTTAATTACTTATGTCTTATGATTACATATTGTCCTTCAATTAGGTGTCTAAGTCCATAAATATAATTAATATGTACTTGAATTGATAGTAGCACAATCCTTTTGGTTTGCCCTCGAAACTAGCAATTTGACAAGATGACTTTTGGAGAGAAATGTTGAATTTCTTATTTGATTAATAAATTGAAATAAATGATTTGTTAATATTTAACTAGTATTTAATCAAAAATTAATTTGAATTAATTTTGGGATTAAAAGAATTAATTATTGGATTACTTATGCCTTATCATTACTGTAACATCCCAAAAATACAGGCCAAAATTTTCATTTTTAAATACGTTATTATAAAACCAACAGTATGATAAAACATTCATAATACCATGTCATGTCAAAACCAAAGTAGAAATAATCAAAACATGTTATCATAAAACAATATCAGAGTGCGGAAAACCATAGTGTGATACGCTGCGATCAAGCCGGCTCTTTTCCTTTGAAAATGAAGTACCTGAAACCAAAACTAAAAACCGTAAGCACGGATCTTAGTGAGTTCCCCTATCATACCACATACCATTCAATCACATAGCATACATACTGTCAGGCAATTCTGGGGTGCCCGACCTACCCGGTCCGACCATTCTAGGGTGCCGACCTAGCCGTGTCAAGCCATTCTGGGGGTGCTGACCTACCCGTGTCAAGCCATTATGGGGTGCTGAACTACCCTTCGGTCCTAAGAACCGAACTCCGGGGACTATTTCACCCTCTACTACTACTATCACATATATCAAAACATAAACATACTGCTAGGCATATCTAGGGTGCCCGACCTACCCTTCGGTTCTAAGAATCGAACTTGGGGACTAGTCCCCTCCTACTACCACTATCACATACAACATAACATACTAGCACATAAACATACCAAGTAGTAGCAAACCAGACAATTATCACAAAGACAATCATCTCAACTATAATCAACTACTAGTGGGTCGGACTTGGTGCCTTAGACCCACTTCTACCGAAAGGTAACTCACCTCACACTACTGAAGTCCCGTAGACACAATCCCAACTGCTGGATGATAGATTCTCGATCTGTCAATGTTAAAAATCACCCAATTAATAATTGGGTTCCAACACATGTCTATAAGTCCATGTTGGGGTAAGAGACTACTTTACCCGTATCTTGGCTTGATTCAAGCCCAAGGCCCAAAAGTTAACTGTAGGTCAAGGCCTGACATATGGCCTAATTTTCCAAATTGGGCCCAAACCTTTATAAGGTCACACCATAAGGCCCAACCATTTAGTCTAGTCGAACATCCAACATTCTAATGGCCCAATATCATATAATCATTAAGGCCCAAACTATGGCCCATCTATGGCCCAATTTTCCAAATTAGGCTCAAATCCTCACATATAGGCCTTATCCTAAAGCCCATTAAATTATTTTAGTCCATATGATTATTCTTGGATAGCCCATTAATAGCCCAATCATCAAAGCCCAATAGAAAGGCCCAACATAAACCCAAGTGAAATTAGGGTAAAGTGTTTCTCACTTAACCCATTAAGGACTTAATCCATTAAGTCCATCAGTCTTCTAAATAAATCATATGGTATTGGGCTTAATACACAGTTCCATTCCAATGGCCCAAATATAGGTCCCGATAATTCAAAGCCCATAAATCCAGTATTAGGGTTTTCTAAACCATAATTAGGGTTTCCAACCCCATCTTAGACCAATAAGCCCAATAGCTAGGTCCTTTAACCAATTAGGGTTCATTAAGCCCCTTATGATTTCACTAAGCCCATTAGTCATCTATTTAAGCTTTTAGGTCCATTAAGCTTCATTGGGCCATTAGGGTTTATTAGGCCCATTAAGCCTCATTAGGCCCATTATGGTTTATTGGTCCTTTTGTCCAAACATCCAAACGAGTCACGATCCAACAAGGCACGTCACCACCCGACACGGCGGCCGGTGGCGGCAGCCACCACCTCACGGTGGTGATTTTGAGTTTTTCTTTTCATTACTAATCTCTAATTACACTTTACAATGTTTAACCCAAAATAACACATCAAAACAAAATACACACACAGCCACCTTGTGGTGGCCGACGGTGGCGAGTGGCGGCAGCCACCATGGCAGCCTTGGCGGTTTCCCTTGAGTTTCTTTGTTCAGCAACAAAACATGTACACGCTCCTGGAACACAACATCACCGGTTTATGCACTCAATCGGCGAACTTGTGGCGGTGTATGATGGTTGGAGATGACAGCCACCACCTCATGGTGGTGGTGGTGATGGTGGGTTATCTTTCTTGTCCAAAATAACGCACATACTCCACTATTAGCTCCATAAACAGCCTATAACGGTGAGCACACACACATTCAACCACCTACAAGGTGGCAGAACATCGTCGGAATGCCACTGAATGGCAACCAACGGCGGTTACGGCCCTAAACAGCAAGAAGGGATGAAGGAGGTGAAAGATGGCCTTACCGTGAGCATTCCGTTCGCACTCGACTTGTGTCCGCCGGTCACAGTTCTGACTTCATTATTGGTGGGGTTTCTTCGGCCGTTCACGACTTCACCAAAGCAGCAAAGGAGGTGACGATGGCATTCAATGACAAGGTGGCGGAGGCTAGAATGGTTGCGCCTGGCGGTCTTGCTCGATCGGAAACGGGAAGGGTGTGGTGGGTTATCTTGCTTCCCTGTCCAAAATAACGCACATACTTCACTATTAGCTCTGTAAACAGCCTATAACTATGAGCACACTAGGGCTGTGCAAAAAACCGCACAAACCGCCCGCACTGCACCAAACCGCACGGTATAATGCGGTTTAGAATTTCGTGGTGCGGTTTGCGGTTCATCATTTTATCAAACCGCACTATGCGGTGTGGTTTGCGGTTTGTATTTATAAAACTGCGGTTCAAACCGCACCGCACCGCATGTAATATATATATATATATATATATATATATACTTTTTTTCTTTACTTTTTTATAACTTCAAATCACGATTTAGAAATTATGTATATATTTTTCTTACAATAATCAAATATCTATAACATAACATTAAATCACTATTAGATTAAGATCTCATGTTTAAAAGAATATAGCAACTATAACGGCAATATAAAACAATAACAATGGTACTTACAAAACTATAGTAGCATGAGTCACAATTTATTAAAAACGATTTAACTCGAAAATTGTATTTGTTTTTATAAAATGAAAGCAATCAATTTTTTTTAACCCGGTCAAGTTTTTGGTTTTTTGATAGATATAATGTTGAACAACTCATCAAACCGCACAAACCGCAACTAAACCGCATAAACCGCCCGCATCAAACCGCACTGCATCACGTGGTTTTGAACATCTGTGGTGCGGTTTGTGGTTTCTAAAATATTCAAACCGCATATGCAGTGCGGTTTGCGGTTTTGACTCGAAACCGCACCAAACCGCACCGCGCACACCCCTAGAGCACACACACATTCAGCCACCTACAAGGTGGCAGAAAATCGTTGGAACGCCACTGAATGGCAACCAACGACGGTTACGGCCCCAAACAGCTAGAAGGGATGAAGGAGGTGAAAGATGTCCTTACAGTGAGCATTCCGTTCACACTCGACTTGTGTCCGCCGGTCACAATTCTGACTTCGTTCTTAGTGGAGTTTCTTCGGCTGTTCGCGACTTCACCGGAGCAGCAGAGGAGGTGACAATGACGTTCAATGACAAGGTGGCGGAGGCTAGAATTGTTGCACCTGGCAGTCTTACTCGATCGGAAACGAGAAGGAAGTATACGGTTGGAGGTTTGACAAGTGGCAGACGGGAGATCCGGAGATGGTGGCGGCTGTAAACGAGGCTAGGGTTAGGATGGTGTAACGATATGGAACGGATGGCCTGATTTATCCCGTGTTCATACAAACTCCATGCGAGTTTGACACTTCCAACCCCTCCATCGCATAAACTCTTCAAAACAGCTCCATAAGTTACATTTTAGCCCCCATCACTCCCAATTCCTTTCAAATCAAGTCCGAACTTTACTCTTTTTAGCCCTCCGCATTCTAAATTCCTTTCAATTTAGGTACAAAATCTACCAAACAGCCCCCAATATCTTAATTATGACATATTCAACCCTTCCACATCATTTCCTCTTAAATTAATTCCAAGTAATTACCATGGAGCTCATGTCTTCATAAAATTATAACATTTAGCTCCCAAAACCAACATCTCACTGAATATTATGGATTTTAGGGCTACTACTCTTTAATAAATTTATTTATTTATTTATTAAATAAACAGGGTGTTACAATTACATATTGTTATTGTTGGATTATGTGTCTAAGCTCATAACTATAATTGGTATGTACATGAATTGATAGTAGCACAGTACTTTTGAGTTGCCCTCAATACTAGCAACTTAATAGGATGACTTTTGGAGAAAATATTGAATTTGTTATTTGATTAATAAATTGAAATAAGTGATTTGTTAATATTTAATCAGAAATTTATTTGTTAATAATAAATTAACAAATCGACTATCTATTTCCAATTAATATTCTAATCACATAATATATTAACAAATTATTTTCCCATAATTTCCAATTAGTTTATTGATCATCTAATAATCTAATAAGTTATATTTATCTCTCCTAATATAATTTCTAGTTATTTATTATCATGAGGGCAATACAAAAAGTATTTTGCTTCTAATTACCAAAGTATACCAATTTAGTTATGAGCTTAGAGACCTTAATCCAACAAATTTTAGTTATTATATACATGTATCTGCATTCATTATCATCTAACAAAGATGTATCCATTTCTTAATTACTTATGTCTTATGATTACATATTGTCGTTTTTGGATTAGGTGTCTAATCTCATAACTATAATTGTTATGTACTTGAATTGATAGTAGCATAGTCCTTTTGTGTTGCCTTCAAAACTAGCAACTTGACAGGATGACTTTTGGAGAGAAATGTTGAATTTATTATTTGATTAATAAATTGAAATAAATGATTTGTTAATATTTAATTAATATTTAATCAGAAATTAATTTGAATTAATTTTGAGATTAAAATAATTAATTCAAAGTACAAGGGCTATAATGTAATTTTTCAATAGGTCAGCAAGAGGTTCAAGAAACTCCCTAGGGAAGGAGGTGGACGGTTTTTCATAAGGATAATCTAGGGTTTATGGATTATTCCATGTAGATAATTAAGGAGATGGACACTTGCCTAATTTGAAATATTAATATTATATTCAAATTAGGGTTATCTAGGACATCCTAGATGCATTATAAATAGACCCCTAACCCTTAGGAATTTTGGCCACCTGAAATCCTAGAAGAAAAACCGAAATTCTTAAGCCTCTTTTCCTCTCTCCTCTCTCATCCTCTTGCTAGTATTAGGTGTGATCTACTAGAGGCACGACACTTGTGGTGCTTACTCTTGAAGCTTTAACAAGATCAAGGATAACAATTAATATACGTTTTCTTCACCCTATTTAGTGATTTTGAAAATATACTAGTAGTATTAGGGTTTTCCATTTAATATTCAAAAGTTGTATGTTCAGTTAGAGAAAACATGGATCAACAATTAAGGTTGCATGCTCACATAAGTTTTTTGTTTGTTATGCTCAAAACCCACCAGTTGTAACAAAAGATAACATATTACAAACCAACCTTACACTTCGTCTTCATTTGCTTTCTTTTATCCAAAATGTGTAATCATAACTACTGCTTTCTTTTATCCAAAATGTGTAATCATAACTACTTATCACTCATTAATTGTTTCCACGCTATCAATTAAATAGTTCCATGCTCCTGTATATATCTCATTTCGAACCTCTGAATATTTATTCGTATACACATTCAATGCATGTTGTTCTAATCATGCTCTCATTCCAAATTTATGTTTTGCTTTTCTTGTTTCATCATCCAACCAACGTTGTGTATTACATTGTTTTCTGATTGCCTTGTCACAGTTAACCATGAAATACAAAAGAAATTTTCTCAAGATGAGCATATTTATTAATAATAATTTGTACATTCGGACTTGAAAGTTGTTTTCATTTGTCTCTACATATCCTTAAAATGTGTTGATATCCACATGGACTGCTTGTGATACATGTCCTTAAACCATCTTTATCCTGCATTTTGTGCTCTTTCATCAATAAATCCCATTATACTTCAAATTCTTTCGGCTTCATATACACATTTCATACTAGTTTATTGAATTGTTTTCCAAAGTCTACGTTTCTCAAAAAATCCTGAGACCATAAGTCTTTTAATCATCATATATTTTAACCAATATATGTATATATCATATAAATTTCAAGCGTTTGTTTTCTTTTTCTTATTCTTTTAATACATTATATATGTAAATATTAGTCGTAAGAATTTAATCTTATTATTTGAACTTATTTTAAAATTATATTCAATTTAAGTTACTAATATGTTATTTTTTAAATTTCTAAAATCTTTTAATGCGAAAATATACAATTTTAATTTATAAGGCTTCATTATGTTATTTGTCAAATTTAAATATAATGATAAAATAATCATTTATTTATATCCAAACAATACATTTGGTGCAAAAATGAAATAATATACATATCAAAACATTGCAAATACAAATATCAAAACCATTCAACATCATTTATTAATTTAGGACTTTGATAGGAAAAACAAATCCCTTAAACCCTAATGATGATGACTATTTTGTAAATTCAATACCAAGTTATAATATTTCCTCATATTTAGACCATTTTGTATTTTGCTTATTAGGGGGTCAAATGAGCATGTTTCAAAGCCGATGGAACTTGGTTACGTGGCTAAAACCTTTTTGATGATGATATAAATATTTTGTGCTTCAATCTTACAATTAAGATGCATTGATTATAACGTTTCTAAGGGTAAGTGACAAAAGTCTTGACCCATTGTAGTTATTTTCCTTTTAGTTGTAATTGGAAAATGGCAATATTCCTTATGTCCCAATTCCCAAAATATACAATCTTAAACAATTATTTGGCACATCGTGTACAAAATATGTGTGTATCGTAGTTAAAAGTTTGGTTTATATTGACCAGCGGTTGGCATGACTTTTATCACACACCAAACAAAAAGGGATAGTCATTGACTTATTGTTAGGCATTTTGAAGTAAAATTTGTAATAATTTATATATAGAGGAGATGTGAACAAAAGATTTCAATTTCCCTTTCAATTGTATGGGCTGGAAATGACAATACAAACATTAATAGGGTAAACCTTTCACTTATGTATAATCTCAAAGGGTTCATTCGTTTTTATTAAAAACTAGAAGGAGTTAAAATGAATCATCCCAAATGAAATATAAAATGCCTTTCGGTTCCCTTCTTTCTCTCTCTATAAACCTGCAATAAACTCTCTCTCTCTCTCTCTCTCTCTCTGGTGCTAATTTTGATTGGTTTATGTTCTGGGCTTTCTGTAGCAGAGAACAAGAAAGAAGAAGATGAGGGATTTGTAAATTTTTTAGAAGGTAATTTCAATTGTTGTTATGATTTTGTATAGAAACATCAACAAGTACATAGATATATAGAGAGAGATAAAGGAAACAGGCATGGGTTGTTTCCCTTGCGCTGGGGGAGATTCTTCTACAAAAAGATCATCGAAGAACAAAAGAAACGACACCACCCACAACGATCAATCAAACACAAAAAATTCTGGTATGTATAAAGAGATTTCTTTCCTCATATATATATTTTTACGAGTGATCATTCAAAATTGTAAAAGAAGTTGTATTTTTTTGGGGCAAATTTTGCACCCTAAGCTTCATTTCTAATATTCTCTCTGTGTTTCGTGATTCGATTCTTGTTGTGGAATCATGCATGCCGTTCGATTTTTCTTTTTGGGGATTTGCGTTTTCTGATGTTCGGACCCCTATTTTGTATTTGAAGTTATGAATTTTGGTTATCGATCTTCCATAAGAGAATTGTTGATCGTGGTGATTACTGATTTTGTTGTTTTCGTCGTCGTCGACTAATGATGTTAACTTTGGGTTTACTTTGAGATTGGATGTAACTTTTTTCTGTGTAATTTAATAATAATTTGTTCTATGTCCATTGGGTTAAATTTTAATTGGAACTTTTGTGTCACTAGTGACCTCATCAATTTAATAACTTTAATAACTTTTGATCTTGAAGCTTATCAATTCCCTTGATTTTACTCTCTTAACTAATTTATCAAAAAAAAAAAAAAGCAACTCTCAAACTGATAGTACTTTCCTTCTTCAAAAACCCTAGAACCCATATCAATTTGTAGTTGTAACTAAAACAGATTACCACAGGGGAGAGAATAGTTACTATTTACTATTATACCCTAATTTTTATAAGTAATCTCATTATTACAACTTCAAGCAGTAGAAACACTGAAACACATTCCAAACACTGATAGGTGAATAGAAAAAGGGTTTGGTTTATTCTTTTCACATCCCTTTGTTATCAATTGTCATGTCCCATCTTACTTTCTTAAATCATGATGAAGTTTTATACTTTTGTGCTTTAAATGACTTCTTGTGTACTTCTCCACACATTTCATTACATATTCTGATTGAAATTTATTGGTTTAAATGATTTAGATACAGTAAAAGTCGAAAAGTGTAACGAAGTGAAAAAGGAAAGTGCACAGGATGCTATTCAATCATCAGTCACCAATGAGAGTAAGACTCAAAGAGAAGGAGGTTCTATAAACAAAGCAAGAACATTTACATATGCACAATTAGTCAATGCAACTGATAACTTCAAAGGTTCATATTTCTTAGGGGAGGGTGGATTTGGCAAAGTTTTTAAAGGAAAATTAGAAGATTCCGATCAGGTTCGTGAAAATCAATCATTTTAAATTCAATCATGAATCCAAGAATTTGCATAATGACAAGAGAGTATAGTTGTATACACCTTAAAAGTAAGGTGGTGTCTCTTTTTGACATAATGAACTTAATTGGGAATTTGGGATGTTCCATTTTTTACTAAACAACTTAATAGAAAAAGTCATGTTAGAAAACAAGACTTTCCCATCAAGTCCCAACTTTTTATAAATTCATCCAAATTAATCTTTCTTTTCGTGGTTTCAATTATGTAATATTCTTTTAAACATGAAAAAGCTTGAATCTTTTTAGTTTTACATCGCAGATTGTTGCAATAAAGCAATTGGATCCCGATGGATTACAAGGGATTCGTGAATTTGTGGTTGAAGTATTGACATTAAGCATGGCAGATCATCCAAATCTTGTGAAATTAATTGGTTATTGTGCCGAAGGAGAACAAAGATTATTAGTGTATGAATACATGCCATTAGGCTCTTTAGAAGACCATTTACATGGTATCTATCATCCCCATCATAAATTTCTCATCTTTCAAAAAAAAAAAAAAATTGTATGTGAATTGAGTTTTCTTGAAATGTATGATTTTTTTTTGGTGGCAGATGATGGGCCCCACAGGAAACGACTTGATTGGAATACACGGATGAAAATAGCAGCGGGTGCAGCCCGCGGGTTGGAGTATTTGCATGACAAAATGAACCCACCGGTTATATATCGGGACTTAAAGGGGTCCAATATTTTGTTAGGTGAAGATTATCATGCGAAATTGTCTGATTTTGGGTTGGCAAAAGTGGGCCCACTTGGAGACAAAACTCATGTTTCGACCCGTGTGATGGGGACTTACGGGTATTGTGCTCCTGATTATGCAATGACGGGTCAACTCACTTTCAAATCTGATATTTATAGTTTTGGTGTTGTCTTGTTGGAGCTTATTACGGGTCGAAAAGCCATTGATAATTCAAGATCTGCAGCCGAGCAAAACCTTGTTGCTTGGGTAACTAACTAACTTTACTTTTTTTTTTTTTTTTCATTTGATTCTTTTGGTAGTCTTCTCTTTTACTTTATTATGTAAGCCTTTAGTTCTCATGGTCCATACTCCACTTTTGAATTTTTTTTTTTTTCGGTTATTCTTGTGACAACCCTTAACCCCTGAGCTGGCCCACACTGCGTTATCAGTTCTAATATGGATTATGAGAGAGAAAAATAGCTTTTTGCGGAAACTTTAATTAAGAAGTTGATATAAAGATTTTCCATTGGGAATGGGAATCTTCTTTTGTGGTATCAACATTGCTTTTGAATGAGGGAGTGATATTGACTCATCTATAATCCAAATACATCACTCTCAAATTTGTGAGGTTTTTTGGGGCCACACACTTCAAGAATATGATCCCTTGTTCCCATATTCTTTGGCATCATCATCAATCATCACAACATTACACCACAAATTTTCTTACACTTTCTGAACCATATAAAATATAGCAACATACTTTTTTTTTTTTTTTTTTAAATTGAATTTTCTTTTTTATTTCAATTTGTTGTGTCATGTCAGGCAAGGCCGTTGTTCAAAGACAGAAGGAAGTTTTCACAAATGGCAGATCCAGTCCTTGAAGGTCAGTATCCAGTGAGAGGATTATATCAAGCTTTAGCAATAGCTGCAATGTGTGTTCAAGAACAACCTAATATGAGACCACTTATTGCTGATGTTGTCACTGCTCTCAATTATCTTGCGTCACAAAAGTATGATCCTTTAAATAACCCTGTTCATCAAAGTTCAAGGAGGTCTTCTCGTACCCAAAGATCCATTGATGAGAACAAACCCAACCAAGATATGTAATAATTGTAAAGGGAGGAGGGGTAGTTTTGTCTTTTGTGTTGATAATATGGAAGGTCGTCGGTGTTGTTTTTTGGCATCGTAACTTAAACTTTTGACATTGTTTTCTTGGTTTAGGATTAGAAAAAAGGTTTAGAGGAATAATGAAATTACATATTACATATTACATATATATATAATATAAATATACATATATATCTTCTATTTTTTTTGTTGTGAAATGTTGAATTCCTTCTAGACATTTTTTTTACAGATAAGAGATATTTTGAAGAGCTTGTTTGAAGTAGTTAACCAGGCCCACCAGCTGTTCGACGGAATGCCTCAAAAAGACTTTTTCAATAGAAACATGGTTGCTTAAATACAGAAATACTAAATTGCTTGGAGAAAAAAATCAATATTCAAGATAAACAAGCAACCTGTACAAATTTAATCCCAAAACTTTTGTGAAAATTTTAGAGAACAAGTAAAATATATAATATAGTGGCAACACATTACTAAGCTCGTGGGTATCTTGAGCGCCCTTTCTTCCTTAAGAACTCGGGAATTTCAAACAAGCTTCCTTCCTGTGGTGGCCGCCGGTTGAATCCACCCAAATCCGTCTGTGCCGCCTGCATTTTCACCAATTTACATAGCAATTGTGAAATTATGAAACTGCCCTTTCAAAAAAACAAAAAAGATAGATTTTTGTAGTTGATAATAGTACTTGGAGAGGTGGTTCATCACTTTCTTCTTGTCGCTTGAATCCGGTTGCTATTAGAGTTATACTCACCTAAAAAATAAAGAAAAAAAATCATAAATGTTGACTTTCGTGTTTTTCAAATTTATCAAAATGAAAAATAGAACCCCTTAGCTCCCTTTGTTACACGAGACTACAGAATGTTTAGGAGGGCATTACTGTCTTTTTCATTGATGAGACTATTATTTTTGGGTGGGGCAAAAAACTTGCAATGTTTTTGTCAGATTAACAGTAGTCACAGTCTCAGTCAAATGCATGCCAAACACAGTACAATCAGTTTTGTTTTGTCCTATGTTTGTAACAAAGTAAATCTTACTTGACCACTTATCAACGGATCAATGACAGCTCCAAAGATCAAGTTTGCAGTGGGGTCCACAAGATCGTATATCACCTCGGCTGCAGTATTCACCTACAATGTCCCATTTCACAACGTTTGACTCTAAATAAACGGTGTTGACTATCTGCAAAAAGTCCAAAATACCCTTCCATATCCAAAATCATACCTCGAGTAATGTTAAATCGGTACCACCGGTTATATTCCAAACAATTCCAGTCGCCCTCTCGATACCGATGTCTAGCAAAGGTGATTGAATCGCATTTAAAGCAGCATCTCTTGCCCTTGTCTTCCCTATAAAAGGAAAGACACATTAATCAAGTAAAATTACAAAATTACCCCTAGTTGAATGATTTCCACTTACCAGTTCCAATTCCGATCCCCATTAACGACGAGCCTGCATTTGCCATAATAGCTCGAACATCAGCAAAATCCACGTTGACTAAGCCTGGTATCTGCAATTTTAGTCGATTGTTTTAGACTTAATACAGAAAGAACGACTTAATACAGAAAGTCAGGGAAATGAGACTTAATGGAGATTAACTTTTTATACCGTAATTATATCGGAAATTCCACGAACGCCCTGGCGGAGAATGTCATCAGCTAGATTAAAAGCTTCGGTTACAGGGGTAGAAGGGGAAATTGCGGTCAATAATTTGTCATTTGGAATGACGATCAAAGTGTCGACATTTTCTCTTAATAATGCAATTCCTTCTTGTGCTTGAACTGCTCTTCGCCTACCCTCAAAAGAAAAAGGAGTTGTCACAATGCCAACAGTCAATATTCCCATTGACTTTGCAACACCTGCAATGATTGGGGCTGCACCTGTACCTGTACCTCCACCCATCCCCGCCTACACACAGACAGACAGTCAGACATGACTTAGGGGCTGTTTGATAGTTGCTGATTGAATCAGATCTGATTGAGTCAAGGTTTGACTCAGACAGACCCTGCCTCTTATCAGACATAGTATATATATATATATATATATATATATATATATATATATATATATATATATATATATATATATAATCATCCATGGGTAAAGCGTTGAATATATAAGGTTTGTTTCTTTTCTAGACTGAATAAACCATCTGAATGAGACTAAATGACCGTTTTACCCTCTTACATTCCATAAAACAAATTTCAAAATATTCATCAGTTTTAATATGAGAGGGAGGTTATAGGAAAAAAGAAGAAAACAAATAGGTAAAGGGTTAGTGTCTTGATATATTAAGCTAGTTTTTTTTTTTTTTTTTTGGCTTAACCCAATAAGTCATTTGTCCAGATTAAGTAAGAAAAAGAAGAACCATTTATAGTGATCCAAGAGTCGAGAAGAAACAAGCCCTAAGTGGAGGATATAATGTTGTGAGAATCATGAAATGCTTGTTGGTCACGTTTTTTAGGAGGTGACATTGAAAAAAGGTATAAAATGTGGAAATCAAGGAGCAATAAATTAAAAAAAAGGGAAGAACTTACAGTGACAAACACCATATCTGAACCATTAAGAGCTTCTTCAATGGATTGTCTGCTTTCTTTAGCAGCATTCATCCCAACATCAGGGTTGCCACCTGCGCCAAGTCCTCTGGTCAACTCTTGACCAATTTGCAACCGGTGATTTGGGAAAACAGGGGACATTTTCATAGCTTGAACATCTGTGTTCACAATATAAAACTCAACACCCTTCATTGCATTCTCAATCATACGGTTGACCGCGTTTGACCCACCTCCTCCAACACCAATCACTTTAATCGTGGCCTCATTGTAATTAGTAGAAATTGTTGAATCTCTCAAACTCTCCTGGGGAGTGATCACTGTGTTGTTTCCATCGCCTCTGAGTAGATAAACTTCGGGGTGTAGATTATGAAAGGAATCTTTGTTATTGAATTTGTTGATTGATGAACATGTTATCTTGGGGGAATACGAAGAAATGTTGTTAGGTTTCCAACGCGTCATCTTCAACGTTGAAACTCTCCATCCAAAAACAGTGGGTGCCCTAATTGAATCTTGAGTTTCTAATGGCATTGACAATGGCGATGTACATGTTGCCAATGCCATAGCTTTATTTCTCGCAAGAAGGGTATGTTGAAAACCAAAGGAAATTTATCTACCGATACCCGATTCTTAGAAACCACAAATATAACCAGATGAGTTTACCTACAAAATAAGACCAAATTCACCGATTTGAAAAAAACCAATAGCAGATAAAGTCAGAAGCGTGTAAGATTGCAACAAGATTTGAACAAAATGCAGATGGGTAATGGCAATGGATGTGTGAGGAGAGAAATCAATACCCAAAAGTTTAAGCAAAAAAGTTACAAATGTAGCATTACTAACAGTAGTGAACATTGAATAGAAGAAAATTCAGTAAATTGAAAGCTCAAATAACAGTGTAAGCAGAGAAAAGCAAAGCCTCATATTAAGAACACCTGGAACTTAAAGAATTGCAGCAGAAATCGAACAAAATGTAGACCTATAATGCTACATAAGAGGAAAGTAATGACAAATGGAAGATGAGTATGACAACAAGAGTGTAAAGAACATACCTGAGAGGAAGAGGATTCACTACGAGCAAAAACGCAGCTGCACCAGAACTTGCAGCTAATTCCATTTGAGAAGAAAAGGGGTCAAAAAAGTGGGTATTAGAACATCTCACGTTTCTTTGGTAATAAAGTGGTTTGATTGTAATTTTTTTTTATAACATCTTAAAAACAATTATTTTATACATTCTTGTTTTGGAGTTAACCTCAATTTTTTTTTTCTTTATTTGAAATTATATTTTAGAAAACGTTTTATTTTCGGGTCCTTGACCGGTTACCAATAGGTTATGATGACGTGTCAGTTTTGCATTTTCCTCGGTTTGCATTTAGCACCAACATTTACGTATAAGTTTGTATTTAGCCCCAACATTTTTTTGTTCCCCATTTGCTATGGTTTTTTAGGAAAAAAAAAATCATTTTAGCCATTAGCCAGTCATTAATAAGTATTTTCATTTTTTTTTGTTTATCAACAAATATGCCATTAGAAATATTTGGAACAAATATGTTATTAGAAAATAATCGATTCTTTTTTAGATGGGTTACGAATGAATTAACAATTTTGATTGACTCAAAGATTAACATGTCAAACTGTTTATTAGATGTCATAGACTTAAGACGTACATTAGGTCTTTTTTGTTTATTTTAAAATATATGTGTACATTAAATACAAAAAACACTGATAATACAAAAAAAAAAAAAAATTATTAACTTACCAGCTAACAAGCCCCGTCCCTTAAAGATAAGACACATTTTCGACTCTTTAAAAATATATGGTTTCTTAACAAATATGTCAGTAGAAATAATCAACTGTTTTTTAGATGACTTACAAATGAATTAACAATTTTGATTAGCTCAAAGATTAGCATGTCATATTGTTTATTAGATGTCACGGACTTAAAACTTATACAAGGTATTTTTCCTTCATTTTAAAATACATGTCTAGATTAAATACAAAAACACTGATAATACAAAAAAGAAAATTATTGGCTTACTAGGTAACACGCCTCGCTCTCAAGCAGAAGTCGCAATTTCGACTCTTACCTCTATTTTTTCCTTTTTCATTTTAAGTTATTACGTTTTAAAATACCTATTCATGACTAGCCAATGACTAAAACGAAATTTTTTCAAAAAAACAATGGCAAATGGGGAACAAAATTTTTTTTGGGGCTAAATGTAAACCAAGAAAAATGCAAAACCAACACGTCATCATTATTTGTTGATGACCGTTCAAGGGCCCGAAAATGAAACGCTTTCTAAAATATAATGGCAAATGAAGAACAAAAAATAAAGTTGGGGTTAAATCGAAACGATGGTGTATAAATAATGGATTTTAAGTAGGGGTGTCAATTTATGACACGACACGATAAAAATACACGACACGAAACGAAATCGGGACGAAATCAAAATTCGAATTCGTTTTCGTGTCGTGTTCGTGTCAAATTTAAAAAACATGATGTCGTGTTCGTGTTTACAAATCCACACGAAATTGACACGATTGAGCATGTATTTGTCGTGTTTTCGTGTTTGTCGTTTTCATCGTGTTATATATGATTAAATATGAATTAAATAAAATAATAGTTATGTA